GGGCCGAACGCCCGCTTCTCCTGGGGAGACAGCAGCACCTCTTCTCCCCGCGCCCGCGCTTTCTCCAGCTTGGCTTCCAACGACTTTGCTAATCGCCCGGACCGCATGTGGACGCTCCGGCCCTGGGGCTGCACAAAGCTCAGGTTTCCTTCGGGGGCTGAAGGCGAGAGGGTCTTTTCGGACCGAGTTCAGCAGAATTGAGAGATGGAAGTTAGAGAATTTGGGCAACTTGCCTCTACTGCCTGGTCGACCTCTGCTCTCCCCCACACTCACGCCCCCCACACACACACGCACACACACGCACACACCCCTCTGCCTATAAACGCCGGCGGCGGGGCCGGGCCGCGCACGGAGTCCCTGCCTCGCCAAGCGCCGGACTTGGAGGCAGACAGACCTGGCTGCGAATCCCGGCTCCGCCACTTTCTAGCGCTGTGACCTTGGGCAAGTTACCGAACCTCTCCGAGCCTCTCACTCTTCTCGTAGCGGAGTGATAGCACTGACCACAGGCGACTTGGCTAAGGGGTAGGCTCAGCCCGCGGCCGCGTCGGGTGCTCTGCGGGCGCTCAGTAAGTGTTGGTGAGGCGCGGGAGTGGCCGCAGCCGGCGCCGGAGTGCGCCCCCGCGCGCGGTAGCACCGCGGGACCCCAAACTCGCCGGGGAGGCCGAGACCCCGGGCCCCTCCCCGCCTGTCTATCCTGTCTCCACGATCGGTTCCTGATACGGCACTCGCGGGATCGGACGCTCGGGGCCCTGGCGGCCTGGGTGCTCGCGGTCCACCGTGCAGGGATGCTCCCGGCCGCCCCCAGCTCCGGCGGCTCCACCTGGGATGTGGCGAGGAGGGCAGCCGAGCTGTCCGCAAACAACGGGCCTTTAGTTTTCAGGTGGTGAAACTGACTGGTCTGGTTAGAGCGCATCCAAGCCAAGCCGCAGTACTGTTTGGATTTTTAAATTTCTCCTGAGTGAGAAAAATAGCAATCGAGATGGAGCCATCCGGTTGGTGCCATTTTAACTTTTGGTCCCCCAACAGGTCAAAGACGCGGCCCCCCTACCTGCCTCTCCCTTCTCTCTTCTTCCTCTCCCTTTCCCACCCTCATCTAGGCGGTAGGGGGCTGCCGGCCCACGGGACAGTCTGTGAAGGAGGGCGGGCGGCGGGACCGGGAACTGGTGGCCCGGGCCCGCGAGGCACCCGCAGGAGAGGAGGCACTTGTTGCTCTGGGTTGCCCAGCCGTCTCTCGCAGCTGTTTCACAGTGGTCGGCTCGAGGCTTGGAGAGAGAGCTGAGACGTTTCTGCGCTGCCAAGTTTTGCCTTCGAATGGGCTGGGTGGCAGAGGGGAGACAAAATCGGGGAAGCAGGGGCAAGGATTCCGATCGAGATGCGGTTGCCTCTTCAGACGGATACAACACTTACTGAGCGCCTATGGAGCACAGACCCAGGCCGGGGGTCGGGGCTGGTGGAGGGGGAGGCGGCGATGGGAGGCAACAGACCTGAATGGAAACAGGGTCCTGCCTAGGGGAGCTCACAGCCTGAAGGGGGAAACGTGGTAAAATGGTCTTCCCCAGGAACTGATATCAGAACAGAGATACTTTTCTCTTGCACTCTCTCTCTCTGTTTTCCTTTTTCTTTTTTTCCTCCTCTTTCTGTTTCTTTTTGTTGTTGCTGCTGTTTTTTTTTTTTTTTTCCTTAGGCACATTCGGGTACTTGGTAGCATAAAGAAAGAAGAAAGGCTGAATAGGAACAGGAAAGGATGGACAGCCACCCCCCTCCCGACATTTTTCTTAGGACATGAAAATTGCTTGATACTGAAGGTGCTGGGCTCTTGAAGACGACATGGATTAGATTCCTTGTCTTGTAATCACTGGCTTGAAATATTCTCTGGTTGCCTCAGAGAAGAAACAGGTCTCCAATCAAGCAGTGGTGGTGGACTCAGCAACCGATTGTTTTCTCGTGTTTTCTGCCCCCCTTCCTTTTTCTATTTTTCTTGCCTCCCTCCCCTACAAGTAAGCGGTACAGAGATGATAAAGAGAGGTAGTAAGTGCCCACTTTCTAGAAGGGTCTGAGCAGATTCTTAATGACCACTGGGGGGGGAGGTGTCACAGAATTCTAGCCTTGTTGGAAAGATTAGAGACTTTTGAAGATGCTGAAGATTCTTTGGGCCAGGAGGTATTTATAAATATGAAATTCTACATCTCTAATTCATCATGAAGGCTAGAATATATGGGGCTTTAAAAAAAAGCTTCTGGGAAAATAACTTTAGAGTTTTCAGAGATTGTTTATTATTATTATTTTCTGGTTTGGGGAGATTCTTTTCCCTTCATCCCCTTATCTTATCCCTTTGGCATTTGACCTAGGGGATCATTTCTTCAGGAGCCATTTGAATCATTCTAGGTATGATGATTTGGCCAGCGGTCAGATGAGGCATGTGGGCACAGGAGTGCTGGCTCCTGCTCCCATAGCCACTGCCACCTAATGGGAAAGCTGTTGAACCTCTGTACCTCAGTTTCCCTCCGGGAAGAATTATGCCCACCTGTCACTACAGATGAGTGTGTCTGGGCTCAGAGCAGATGTCCTGGGAAAACCAAGTGCTGCTGCCAGGTCTGTCTTGGAGGGGGCTTGTGGTGTGGAGGAAATTGAGACATCCCTAGCTGCTCTCTGGCTACTTCAGAGCCCCCAGACTACCCTGATCATCCCAGCTTCTCTCACACAAAACCATGGCTGAGGCAGGACTTTGGAGCCCCATGACATTTGCTTTGGGGACCTATTCCTTCTCTGGGTAGCAGCCCCCAGCTTTCTAGGTCTTCCTCGGCCTGACTCCTTCCTACTTTCTCCCAGTTCTGGTGGAGGCCTAAATGCCTCCAATCTGAATGCCTGTGGCCCTTTGAGACAGTGTGCTACTTACTCAGGGACATTGCTGTCCTCAGAATCAGGAAGAGTGCACCCCACTTGGGGCTCTGACATCACTGGCATGAGGAAACAGTCATATGTGTGTCCCCTCTTGGTGATGTGGGTAGCTGGCTGTCTGGGCAGCACCTGGCCAAATCTAGCACCTTTCCTGCCTCAGGCAAAAGTTCCAACTGGATATCCTCCCTCTGCTCAGGTGGTCTCTGGTCTTGGGTCTAACCCTTCACCATCCTTGCCTTGTAGCTGTGTGGAGTGGCCCAGCTTTGGGTTTTGCTAGTACCTGCTTGGTCAATAAAGCCTTTGCCCTTATTACCTCTTCTCCCTCACATACAGCACAACAGCTCCAGCTGGCAGCATCACCTCCCACCAATTTATCCAACTTCTGCCAAGGCTCTGAAATGCCAACTATGTCGAGGCCTGCACTTGATGTCAAGGGTGGCACCTCACCTATGAAGGAGGTAACTTTTGCCATTTTACAGTCGGAGACACTGGAGCCAGAAAGACAACCGGGCCGGCGCCGGGGCCACGTGGTCGGCCCTCCTGGCTGGGGTATCTGGTGTCCTTTAGCAGACTGGAGACAGCAGGGCTTTCTTGGGAGAGAATGAAAATAGCTTTTACTTAAACATGGTTACTTCGAACCCACTAGGGGTATTGAAAGATGGCAGAGAATGGAGCAGAGAAGCAGAATTGGAAAAAACTGCTCCATTGTCTCAATGGATTAAAGTGAGGCTGAGAAGAGGGACAACGAGATCCCATTTGTAGAATGGCGAGCTGAAGGCAGAGTTGGGGGACGGAGATGAAAGCAGTGAACTCATTTAGGATGACGGGTGCCCAGCATGAGGACTTAGGGCTGAGCACAGTGCTCGGAGCCAAGGTGGCAGAAGGATACTTGAGCCTAACTTGAGCTAGGAAAGGAGCCTACCTTTCCAGGGGGCCTTCTTGCTACTTCCCCACCACTAGCCCCTGATGAAGCACTGTTTGGGCCTGATGAATGGTGAGGAACAAAGCCTGGAGCAGGGGTACCATACTCTGCCTTTCTCTGTCTTCTAGGATGCCAACCCAGAGATGAGCTCTCTGGCCTACTCTAACCTGGCGGTGAAAGATCGCAAAGCAGTGGCCATCCTGCACTACCCCGGGGTAACCTCGAATGGAACCAAGGCCAATGGGGCTTCCGCTAGTTCCTCGGGATCTCCATCTCCAATAAGCTCTCCTACTGCCGCCCCTCCCACTAAACCCCCACCCTTCAACCTGAACCCCGCCCCTCACCTGCTGGCCAGTATGCAGCTGCAGAAACTTAATAGCCAGTATCATGGGATGGCCGCCGCCACTCCGGGCCAACCTGGGGAGGCAGGGCCCCTGCCAAACTGGGGCTTCGGGGCTCAGGCGGGAGGGGCGGGGTCACTCTCTCCTTCTGCTGGTGCCCAGAGCCCTGCCATCATCGATTCAGACCCGGTGGATGAGGAGGTGCTGATGTCACTGGTGGTGGAACTGGGACTGGACCGAGCCAATGAGCTTCCGGAGCTGTGGCTGGGACAGAATGAGTTTGACTTCACTGCAGACTTTCCATCTGGCTGCTGATGCCAACTGTTCCTAAAGATGGAGGAATAAAGCCACCAATTCTGTTGTAAATAAAAATAAAAGTTACTTACAAGAGATGGGCCAACTGGAGGTGCTCTTCATTGAGGTCTAATGGGGTGTGGCATGGTCTGACATTCTTTTAGCAATTCTGAGACCCATGGTGGGGTTGCCTGAGACCCATGGTGGGGTTGCTGGTGGATAGCTGGGAGGGAGCTGGGCTGGATGGGAGGAATGGGGAAGACCGAGGTGGGGTCGGCGGGTGGGGGGGGGGGGCCCCTCAATGAATTCCTCCTGCCACTGCCATCACCACTGCCATCATATCTCCAGGAGTCCAAGTACCTAGCCTCACTGCCCTAAGACCCCAGGAACACTGTCCTATTCGAGGTTGATGACAGGGGCTTGTTGGGAGCATTCTTGGAAGAAAGACTGATCCAGACCCTTCTATAGCATCCTGGCCACTTGTGCATCCAAGTCTAAAGGGTTGCCCTAGCCACATGGCACACGCTTCACCAACTCTAAAAGGCACCCCCACCCCATCTCTAGCACCAATCCAGGTGATGCAGTAAGGCCACTCCTTGCCTTTCTGCCCTTGGGCAATAAGTATGACCCAAGAAGGATCCTATGACCTGGGAGCTCAGATTTATCTGGAAAATTGCAAAAGCTACAGACCGTTAAACTGAGATTTTAGATGCCTCCAAGTCCTTCAGACAGTTGCTCAAGCCCCATCTCCATGCCTGGGACATGTGTCCCCTAACTCTGGCCCACACTGTATGGGGACAGCCCATTTCTCTGAGCTGGCCTCCATTTTAGAGACACAGATCGGAGCTGGGCTCGACAAGGTCAACATTTGGGGATATATCTGTTGCCCTTAGATTAACTGCTGAGGAGGCAGTAGCTTTAGAAGCATGCCAAGTGACAGGACGGTAGCATTGAACTGGATCCCAGCCTTGAGGTGGAAGGGGGCAGGTGGGGGCATGGGGCTGGTGTGGAATCCAGCCCTGTCCTCATATTGACACAACCGAAGAGCCTAGAGACTCCTCTACCCACATTTCAGACTTCCAGAGACATTCTTCCTTGGACACTGTGGAAACTAATCAGCTTTTCAGGACTAGCATGGGGCCTGTCCCCTAGAAAGTGCTTTCGAAGGAGCCCACCGAAAGAGGCAAGGCATTGGATTGAGCATTCCCTGAGCATCTGCTCTGGGCCAGGCACTCTGCTAAGTATCAGGAGCATAAATTAAGGTTTGTACCATTGAGGGAGTCCCCCATCTAGAAGGAGAAAGGCATCAACAAATTACAATAAAACAGTATTTCCTATAACACAGGGGGAAGGTCCTATTCGATCCCAGAAAAGGAAACAGCTCCATCTGCCTGGGAAGTCTGGGGAAAGCTTCCTGGTATTGAACTGGTTCATTTGTTTGTTTTGATATCTCACAAGTAATAAATACATGATCCAATCTCTTTGTGAAAAGTAGAAACTCTACAGATAAAGCGAAAATACCCTTTGACCAGCTCTCTCCCTCAATCCTGACCGCCTCTTGCCCTCTACTGAGGTAGCAACTGTTTATCTGTTTGTGGTGCATCCTCGCTGGCCTTGCTCTGTGCTTTTACACAAAGACTTATCTACCCACAGAAACAATTGGGTTTAAAAACAAGACCAGAGTCAGCCAAAGAAAGAATGAGTGAGGGGTAAAGCTGTTATGTAGGTACATGTTCATGAAAGGGTCTGTACTAGGCTACACAACTGGAGCTTAGCAAGCAGGGTCATAGGTCTGGGACGGGGTGTGAGGAGGGGACTAGAGAGAAGTTTGCAAGAGGCTGGGCTCAAAGGGCTTTCTAGGCCAAGCTGGGAGCACACCTTTATCCTTGGTACCACCATCCCTGTGGCTTTTTGGGGCTCTCCTGGAAATTTGCGGGAAA